CGAAGAAGTGTTTTGGGTATCTCAATTTGAAGATGTTATCGAGATACTTTGAAATACCATTGTATACCTCCAGTCAGTATCCATCGTCAGGTATGTGCTCCGCCTCTTTGGGTAAAAAAACCCCCGGAATCTCTCTTGGAGGTTGTTTCCCTCATCGCACTGTGCGACTCTGCACAAACGTTATTCAGCAAAAGTTGAATTATATAACTGTTGTACCTTTTGGGATAAATTTAGGACTTGAAAGTTTTTTAGAATTATTGAAAACCCTTCCCCGTATTCTCTTTCAACAAGAGGCAAAGATACTTGGAAGTATTTCGAAGATAGCAGGCGCCATTATCAGTAACTTGCTATCAAGGCTATCGATAACCCCTTCGTTCAATGATTGCTTATGAGCAAACTGATAAAATGTTTGACTTCCTAGTATGCGCAAAAACTAATTTATGATCAAAACGAATGTATACATCCCAGTTGTACCAGGATTTAAACTCGATTTTTTCCCCTGAATTGCTTTTTTTTCCTGGTTCTGATTGTATTGCCAGCTGCTCAGTTGAAAATTCCCAAATATTTACAGTCTGGAAAAAAATACGGCGAATTTTTTTGCCGTTCGTAACACTACAGTGTGTTCTTAATAAAATAGTATTTACAGCAACTGCTGTTTTGTACAGTAGCAACAAACATAGGATAAAAAAGAATCTATAAAGCCACTTCATTTTTTCCAGTTCTCTGTTTTGAGACATCTTAAAAAATGCAATAAACTAACTCTACATATGAGACGGTAGGAAAAAAATTTAAGCAGACATTTTTTCTCAAAAGAAAAAACAGACAAGCAAACTGGTCGAAGCAATCGGAGCATCATGAATAGCAATCGCAAATGAAAGAAGGGATGCCAGGTAAAATGGATATGTCAAATTTGAGAAGTTACTGTAATCTTGAACAGCTCTATGGAATTGTGTGAATGAGAGAAGCCCAAAACAGAGAAGAATGGAGATGCTGCTAGCTGCATCTGCGACGAGAAAGTGATGATGAAACAACAGCAATCAAAGAGCCTAAACAAGACTCACTAAGGTTGTTGCAGCGGATTTTCTAAGGGACGTGTAAGATATCATTTCCACTACGGAAAAATAAAAATCAACTGGACCGAAAATGTTGTTTATTTGGTCAGCACTTGGTCAGTTTAAATAGGAACCACTGAAG